AATAATACAGTTTATTCCCAAAGACGCTTGAATAGGAAGACACACTAAAGATAAAAACATATCATTATACACTGAAAGCAGTTCTGATGAGGTAATTAATGGTTATTCCAAGTGTAATGTTTTAAGGGTTAAGATAATCACTATACACATGTCAGCGTCTTATTCTAACTATTGTCTTAGCCGGGTTAATATCGGAGAATTGCTGTCCATGTAAACGTGTCTGATGTTGACCTATACAACATGTCAGCTACAGCCATGTTACACCTACAAACACACAAAGTACTGAGGAGTGTTCTTATTCAGGCCACATACATGAACTCATTGTTCCGTACAGGCGTGCCTCCACCGAGCCACCTAATAAAAACAGGGTTCTTAAAAAGTGCAGCTTGTAAACACAGAACTTGAAAACAAAAACAGCCTATGTCTCAATAAGCTTACTCAGCAAACACGTGGTTCACAGAGTGGTGAGTACTACAAAAACTATTTGTAGTGAATATTAGTAGTGTGGTGCAACTCCATGTGCAGACAGACCCAAATTCTCAACAAACAAAAAAAACACTGAATACAAGTAAGATTTGTTCATGGCAGTATTTTTGCAAAAGCGCAGATCAAATGTGGCAACCAGTCTCTTACTTTGGTCTGATTGGGTCAAACGGAGCATCTTCCAGGAGGTCATAGATGTAGTTGTTGTAAATCTCGACGTAGGACACGAAAACACTGTAACAACAGTCCTCGTCCACATTCTCAGATTTACATGCCTCCTCTGCGCTGATCATATCTGCAAATTCTGGGTCAGCCCTCTGCCTATGATAAATACATGAACCAAAGACAATAACACAAACAGCAGCCAACATGAACGTAAAATATGGTTCTCTCCAATTTTATCAGTACTTGTGAAAACACCAACTTATAAGTATACTAAGTATACAAAGTAAAGAGTATAATAAATGTACTCATAGCTACCTGGAGGATGGTGTCTTAGGCACAGACTGCTGACTGTCTCGCTTCTGTCTCTCCAGGAGTGCATCAACCTGATTCTGAATCTCCATCCCATTTTTCTCATCCGGTTTAAACACCTAATGAAGATTCAAAACAATTTACAAAATAATTCAAAGCCAAAATACACAAAACGTCAATGAATGAAAAGACGTACAAATCTTTTGGCCTGAAAGGAGCTGATGCTGTTGAAGAGCATGTCTAAAGAACGAGGGAGGAGTCCACCTTCCCCAGGAGAGCCGGTCATGGTGAAGGTCTTACCGCTTCCAGTAACACCATATGTAAACAGCAGACCTGTGAACATTAAATACCACAGATACAAAATCAAAAAAAACTTAGTCTGTGATATTAATATGGATAAAACATAATCACACAGGTTTTATTTAAACAACATAGTGACACCATCAATAGTCATTTGGTTATTTTGCTGCTCTCCACATTAGATTGAAGTTCATTACGTTTAGGTTTGTGTGCTTCACCTAAACCTTATATTAAAGCCTTTACTGTATCAGGGTGGTCGTGTCTGTCCCCCCTGGCAGCACCACTGCATCGAGGCACATTTCTCCACACTGGTCTGATCACACATACATAGAGCTGATCTTTATAATGACCTGGGGAATTAATATTTATGTTCCTGCATAAGTGGAGTGTTGAAGGTGACGTTGAAAAGAATACCATGTTGTGAGATCACCGAAGGGAAGAACTGTCTGCAGCCTGTGTGTCTGCTTGTCCATCACGTTTCAGACACATACAGATAATCCCTTCTATTTAGTTATTAATGAATGTGTCAGATTGTGGGGATTTTGCACTGAACTAGATTACAGTTCATGAAAAAAAAAAAAACTTAAACTTACCATTCTTGCAGTCAATGAGGTCATCGACCAGTGGCTTGGCAATATCCTCAAAAAGCTCAAGTTGCGTGGTATTAATACCAAATATTTTTTTAAAGGTGTACTGTGTCTAAAGAACAAACAAGGGAAGAACATTTAGCACATGTGAGAGGCTTTCAACAGACAATGAACAATAGGAGCCATTTTTACCAAGTATAAGAGTTGAGTCATGTTTTTAGTTACTAAATGATTTCTATAATTATTTATGAATTAGTGTGGTTCTGGAGGTAGAGTGGGTTGTCCACAAATTGTAAGGTAACAACAGATTGTCAGAGGACAACGCAGATATTTTTAAAGTAAATTGAAATATGTCACTGTTGGTGTAATTTTTTGTATTTTCAGTTGTTTGCTCTTTAGTGTGATGTCGAGAAGGAACAAAACAACTACAGATGGTCCCTTGGCTCTAAATACTTCCCATGTAGAGAGAGAAGTAGTTAGTGTTGGGTAGTATCCAATTTTTCATTAAGTTTAGAAAACACTTTTTACAGAAACTTTCCATTACAGTAATGAAACAGACACTGATGTTATTTCCAGGATTCTGTATCACCTTATTACCGCCCATCTCAATCAACCTCACACTTACCTCTTTGTATTCCCCATTGCGGTTGGCTTTAAGACCATCAGGAGCATGCAGCTGAATAGTGGAGCTGCTGATCATCTCCACACAACATTCCTCATCTTCTGCTCCAAGCGGCCGTATACGGCAGTAAACCTAGAGACAGAACAGGAAATATATCTTTATTAGAAGTTCTAGAACCATTTTTATACCTACATGCAAAACATTAATTCATTAACTAGAAGTTTGAGGCCACTTGTACAGCACTGTTTTCTTATTTGGATTTTAAGTCTGTCCATAAGAACAGCAGAGACAGATGTCCAACTAAAATAACTGCATTCAAAACTAACCTAAACTATGGAATTACTTAGATATAAAAACAAGCTTCTCTTTTAAATGTTACTGTAGAGCTTCAGTTTAAAGGTTAACACAGTGAGTGATGTCCACTTACTCCAACTGGATCTTTCTCTGTGTTGGTTGCCTTCTTCGGTCCGTGCCTCCGAGGAGTCTTGCCTTTGCTGTAAAACAATGATCAATCCATCCAATTTATTTATATATAGCACGGTATCACAGCAAACAGTTGTCTCAGGGTGCTTCACAAAAGTCCAAGATCTCAAGAAACACAAAATCAAACTTGCTCCACACCGAGCATACAGAGATGATACATTCAACTGTGTCCCTATAATTTTGACCACAAAGTTACACCGACCCATACTCAGATCCTGGTCAGCCCATATGTACCACACGTTTGGTTTAGGTACGTTTTCTATTCACTGAAGTTTAGTGTTATTATTTCTTTTTAATGTATGAATCCTATTAAAGAAACTCAGTGGGAGGGATGTGGAGGCTTTGAAAGGTTTGAACTCGGGAGATCATTGTCTCAGAACTCGTCTACAGCGAAGCATTCATGTTTATTCGGTGAAAAGTCGACGCTCGGTTCGTATGTCAACATCGACCTGTGCTCACACAACTAGCCTTCAGTTAGCATGATGGCGGGCTAAGCTAGCGCTACGGAAGTACTCTTCTTTATCCGGACTAGTCTCCAGAGTCGCCGGCAGATGGATAATGTGGAACGCAGTGTGTAGTATTTGTATTCACGTGTTGTGGTAGTATTTATATTCACGTGTAGTAGTAGTATGAATAAAACTCACCCTGCTCTCTGCATCGTTACGATCTCAGAGCGGCTCTTTCTTCATTTGAAAACTTCCCTCTCATCAACGTCACTCCGAGGAGCAGGTATTTCAGCCAATCACAGCGGTCTGCAGCGGAAGTCCCGCCTTTTCTTCTTCCTCTGCTTCCTTCCCCATTTTTTTAAAGAAAGTCGCACTAGCGCCACCTAAGTGTGGACCAGCGTTCATTCCCCCTTAAAACCAATTTCTGTTTATTTGTCAAGTTTCTTTAGACAAAACTAATAAACGGTTAAAACACTGAGGATGTTAAATACTTAATTCTTCCAATAAGATAAGATCAAATACAATAAAATAAGAATAAACTTTATATTATTAATCAAGGTTCTTTAGACTAAACAACTAAACTGTTACAACACTGAGTATGTTTAATACCGAATTCTTCAAATATTTCCTTGCACTGACATCACAAGATGATATAAGAAATATAAGAAACAGTAGCAGTACAATACAATAGATAGTAGAATAAATTACAGTGACTAAAAACAATAAAGAATTAAGTCTAAAAATACTGAAACAATGCTGAAAATAAAAATGAAAGTAAAAGAGTAAGTGTCTTATTTAATCTTATATCTCACAATTAATAATCTTTTGATGGAATCTGAACTGCATTTATTGTCACTCTGTTTTTTCCAAATATTTTGCAAATCTTTTCATATCAATTGGGCCGAAGCGGTGAACAGTGCAATGGCCCTACTGTATTTCTACGGCCTTTTTGATCATTTGCTGTAATTACATTAATTTCCCAGAGCTTTAATGTGGCTCTAATCTCACAAAACTTTGCACAAATGTTCAGTCTGGTATAAAATTATACATTTTATTGATCTCATGAAGGAGAGTAGTGAAATGGCTTGATTACACCCTCTACTATTTACATTTGCTCAAGAATGATGAGATTCTATTGGGCTAAGACTTTAAAAAAGTCTGTTGGAGCCATACCTTAAAAGCAACAGCCAATCCGCCATTTTAAATTTGTTGTGAACATTTTAATGGAATCCCTTGAGGTGTTAAAACATTCACAAGTGTTTTGTGAGGTCACAGTGAACTTGACCTTTGACCTTTGAATTCTGAAAAGTTCATTAATGAAAAAAATGATCCTAAGATATTTTGTTCACAAGAATCAACATCAACTGTGATGTCAGGCGGGAGACTCCTCTTTAGAATCAACTTGGTGCAGAGTCAGTTTGGTTTAAAGTTTATTTGAAAACATCATAATAAATAACATTGTACTTAAATACTTTCAACTTTGCAAAGGAACAACGTGAGAACGCTTCTTGTTGTTTCTTCTGTTTAAACATTTTTTACATAATTAGTAACTGAACTTTTAATTTAGTTACTTTACAGGCAACTCAAAGCAAAACACATCTTCCCTTATCATAACTGCCTCATTTGTCTTGATATTTTTCTCTCACACTTCCTTATAGTCCAAGCACAAGTTCTATAAATCATCATTGTGATAAGTTTCCTTAGAAACACATATTATGGTAACAACTATGTTTGTCAAATTCAAATTACATATCTGTGCAAGTGATGGTTTTATTGTCAGTTTACCCTCCACATGATGTCTGACGGCCAAACACCCGGACAGGTTTAGTGCAGACTGCAATCTATCAACCATTTAAACATTCAGCCCCTCTTGGTTCTGGAGTTGTCCTCACAGAGTTTTTAAATCACCCATAATGCACTCATTTCACATGTGTCTTGTGAACAGCTGGGATCCCACAGCGATGGTTCGCGAAGCTGGAGGTTTAGCTGCAACTGCAGACCTTGTGCTGGACTTTATTTAGACTCTTACTATATTTATTTTCTTGGCAGACTGGTGCAGAGAGGAGCGGGAGACTGTAGAGGCCGATGATAATCAAATTCACCAGCATACAAAGCAGCGCCGCACCCAGTGAGTTGGAAAGTGTGATGGGGATGGAGTGCTCGAGGAGCCAAGGGCGTCGTGTCGCCATGTCCTGTTCCACAGCCTTCATCTGGAAGTGGGTGGCGAGGATACCGCACACATGGAAGAGCTGATGGCTGTGACCTGCAAAGAGAGCAGTAGAGTCGTGTTGGAGCTTAGTCACAGTGAAAAGAAGAAAGTTCAAGCTTTTAGCAAATAATTCACATTGCCACTGAAAGAATGCAAACACAGAGCTGGTTATCTATTAGCAGTATTCTACAACGTTTAACTTTTATCAATGCAACTCCAGCGTGAGACAAAATCTCTAAATTCACTTTTTTTGTTTGTTTTGTCTAAATGGATAAAAAAAAGTGGGGAGTTGTAAAATCAACTTCTTTCTCATGCAAACATTTGATCAAAAACTCCTCCAATATTAAAGGTAAACAAAGGTACAGAGCATTAGTTTGTGTCATTCTTCTTTGAAACATGTTGCACATTTCATTCAAAGTAAGCTTCGTGATTTTCTCATATTTCATCAATCTTTGACTTGGCCTGATCACAGTTTCTCAGTTTGTTGCTGAAATAGTTTTGACAACCTTCTCTGATGTATTTTGTGCTCTCACATTTTATATTATATGACATCATGTTGTTCAATAATTGACCAGTGACATGATTCACATAGGTTGTAAAGTCGTTTGCTAGATTTCTTGTTGGAGAGGGCTCCATCGATAAATAAAACTATAAATCAATTATAACCATTAATGCAACATAACTGACTAAACCAACAGTATGGAATCATTAAAATGCTTCACAAAGTTGAACTGAGATTAAGGAATTGTCTCTATGACTGAAAAACAAGTCTGGTACAAAGGTAGATATACTTTTTGGCCACTTGGAGGCAGTAGAGAAATCTGTAAACAACATTGACACAAGTGGATATGGAACTTGTGTTATTTATATCTGTTAATAATCTACCTCACCTGGATCTATGACCTCACCCCTCCATATTTAACTGGCACTTGGTTTTATGTGTATTTTGTTGTTTGTCTTTCTTTTCTTTGTGTGTGTCTCTTCCTGTGGGTTCTCTGTGAAGACAAGGTGATAATAAACAAATGACAACAATAACTACTCAGTCATACCGATGTAGTCGAAGCTGCCCGGTGCCAGGCGCTCAGGTAAATGCGTGGCAAACAGGAAGCCTGTGAGGAAGGCCAGGGCGATGTGGTTGTAGTGGAGGAAGTTGGTGTCGTTGTCTGTGCATCCGTCTCCTACACACAGGAACACCTGCAACACACAGTTAACAGAGTGATGCCACAAAACAGGTTTTCACTCCAGTGGGCAAAATAGAAGTGACTTCTTTTGTACAATTATACAAAAACTACAAGATGGATTCCCATTAAACTTAGTGGAGGGGTGCAGTGCGGGCAGGGAACGAACCCATTACATTTTGGTGCGGGAATTCAGGAATTTCTCTAAATCTGTGTCAGTTTCAACGTTTTCACTGATTTCCCAGGGAATACTCAGCGGATGTTGATGTAAAATAATTTAATCTATTTAATGAAGGAAATGTGACACAGCTTGATTGAGTTTAAAGGGACAGTTGGGCCTTGTCGGAGGGGCAGAGTTATTCTGCAGGTGCCACTGTCTGCATCAAGTGTGTATTCTTTTTTACACATTTACACGTACTGACGGTCAACTGCATTCATCTCATGTAAACACCTCAACGACGTCACTGTAACAGGACCAGATTCATGTCAGACATCACAGTGTCACGTGTGTATTTGAAAACCACATGAGTAATAACATGTGTATGGTATGTGTGAGCTGGGAGCACCTGAGCCAACATTCTGGATCTGAGTTAAAAATCCTATTCAACAGAAAACATGCAGTGTTTTCTTCAGTATGAAAATAATCTTGGGCCACATCCTGGTGTCAAACTCTAATGAAGAGTCATTATAACACTTGTTTGTGTCTTTTCACGTGTGAGGACACAGGATGAGTGAAGTGCACAGACAAGGCCGTACCCTGTAGAACAGAGGAATGTTGACGAACAGGTAGGTGTAGGCAAAGGCAACCACACGAAGACGTTTGCTGAACTTTGGACTCTGAAACTCTGGAAATCTGAAATTACAAAAAAAATGTTTTCAGTAATGAGAAATAAATCCTGCAAACACTCATGAAATAATCCTCAGGGTGAACTATGTTATATCTGCAGAGGGAGCTGTGCACACACAGCTTATTCAGCAGCAGCAATGGTAATAGCAAATACAGAAATGCATTAATTCAGTACCAGAATATAGAAATACTCAAATATAGTGATACACATGGGTACAGTTTAAATGTTATGTCATCCATAACCAGTTTTATATCTAAAATTCATCTACCACAGACATTTAGATCAAAGAGATTTAAATAATTAAAGATTAAAAATTAAAGATGAAATCTTTTTTAAATATTCCATGTGGTAGTTTATGTAAATGTATTTTTCTGAGCAGCACACAAACTTAAACTATCTTTCTCTCAGAGTTAGAGTCAGTGTCGTGTGTTTACAGAACACGTTTTACGATTCTTTTTGTCTAACATGCCCGGCTGAAAAGACACTCTGGGGTAATCACTGTGTAGGGTTGGTCACTATAGTCACCGTGAGGCAACACCCATTGTTAATAATAGTAGTCAGTTGCTCAATTCTGTTTTTGAAATCCCAGTCGATAACGTGTGAGGGATGAACACATGTAAAGAATTTAAAAACACAATCACACACATTGCAAAGGTAGAACTTAAATGTGACTGACACTCACACATTTGAGGCACAAGAGAAAGGCAGAGCTTTACCTCATCATGGTGTCATGATTATACTGTAGAAATGGTAAACCAAGCCTTGGCAGCGGGGAGAGTGAAAGAAGAACAAGGAACAACATTATTCCGGAACATGAAGAAGAAAACAGTGGCAACAACGTGATGCAAGAGGCGACACGGAACAGAACGGATACAGAAAGAAAAGCATAAACAAAACAAAACGACAGAGTATGTTATTCAAAAGTGAAACGTTTTAATGCCAGTTGTATTTATCATTATTATATAATGGAGATGCTACTCTCCATTCATTTCTATTTTCATACAAAGAGCAGTGTTTAAATTCATGTTTTATAAAATGAGCAGGATCTGTGTCTGGATAAGGAATTAGAATCGTGATTTGTGGTCGATGTTGAAAAAATACTTTATAGGTTTTTCAAAGATCAACAAAAATGAACAGAAAATGAATGAATGCATGCGTGAGGAGGTCGTAGTGCTAAGACAGGTGCTACCGTTTGCTGTGTACTCCTCACCATACCTGGAGTAGCAGGCCAGGCCTGTGCAGATGAGCGTGTTGAACACAGCGAAGGGGATGTAGCAATGGTGGAAGACGCCGTTCACCCACTTGTCCGGGAAAACATAAGCTGAGTAGATGGTCGCGGAACCTACACAAGTAAAACTTTCTTTATTGTATGTTTTATATCAGGAACACGTATTTGTAGACTCCAGTCTGACAGAGTCATCCCGTACAATGTGTTGTTCAGCAAAATGTATAAACCTGTCGAAGCTGTCAAACCAACCAACACAACATCAGCTCTGACAACTGGAACTACAGGTGCCCCCATCCTGTGTGTCTTTCCTTTTTAAATAAATGAGTCAATCTCTACCAATAAATAAATTAATTTGTTGACCATTTTTATTTTCAAAGTTATTTTGAAGTTTACGATGTGCTTGAACATGAAGAGTGGCTTTACTCGAAGCTTTAGAGCGAACAGTTAAATAGGAAAGTCTCAAGTCTGCACTTTACTGGACATATAATTGAACCTTTCATGGTCCCTGATTGAAAAACTCTTAAATCTGCCACAGGTCACTGAAAATAAATTGTTAAGTCACTGACGACAGTTCAGTATCAAGAGCTCAGTGCACCGTGGCCATTTCTCACACTGAGTTCTAGTCAACCACTGTCACTGAATCACGTGCGCTCACCCAGGCTGTAGAAACTGAGGGCACCGTAGTCGAAGAAGAAGCAGATGTGGCGAGCCCGTGCCGACATGCTGCTGAAGGTGTGAGCGCAGCTGGACGCCAGCGGATAAATGCAGCACGAGAGCAGGAAGATGACCAGAGGCCAAGTGAAGGAGTCCTGCCACGCCGTCTGCATCAGGACCACCGTCACGAGTTTCCACAGGAAGTACCTGCCAGAAGAAAGAATATATATGAATTAACAGGAATAATTATGGCAGATTGCACAATACCGTCTGAATATCTGGAAGGTTCGCTGGAATATCTGCAGATATACGAGATAATAAAGGTGGAGCTGAACATGTTAGTTCATGGTGCACCACGTGTGTGTAAGAACAGTGTAAACAAACTTTCCCCTCCAGACTTCAGCTCCGACAGAGGAACAGCTCCATCAAGTTTACGTCCTGTAACTTCTCAATTTTACATTTCAGTTTGTTGAAGGTTCTAACAAACAAGTGTGACTGTGGGTTTGGAAGTTCGTGTCGAGGCCACTGGCTGTTGTCGTCACCGAGCATCATGTTTTCAGGCCCTTTCCTAGAAACACAACATCTCAAAAATGCTTTGGGGGAATTTTTTAAACATCTGGTACAAATGTTCAGTTTGACTTGAAAGTGAACTTGGTAGATTTTAGTGGTAGAAAGTAATTTTTGCTCCGTGAATGTGTTACGTTAACAAAAGCTCCAGAAAATCCTTTCAGATTTTCACACAAATGATCACCTCGAGATTGACTGATTAGATTTGCATGCAGGTCAAAGGTCAAGTCACAATGACCTCAGATGAGTCTGGATAAATAAATACTTGTGGACTGAACTTCCTCTAATCTCGAATGCCATCTGAAAATCTGACACTCAGCAATGTTGTGAATGATCTTACACCAACCAAAACAAACTGGATCAAACCTTTAAACCAGTTCCTCGCTGAGAGGTAAACACAGAGGAAACGTTTCACAATAAGCAGAGCAACAAAAGATCAGACAGGTTCAGACCTCCTGTCGTTTGTTGAATTATCTTCTCCAGCAGACTTCAACGATAAACAACCATTTCATTATTAATGTCACGTGTCAATGTTTGAAAAACCAACATGTTCTTTGTGAAGCATCATGTACACTTTCATTAAAAATGCACGTTGGTCTGCAGCTGTTTCACAACAGCTCTGCACAAAAAGCTTAATCTTATCAGGAGCCTGTAGTTTGCTTTGTGTATCGCAGCCACTGTTTCCACGGCTCAGTGCACCTCATTAACAAATCAACATTATTTGTGCTTTTCCACGTCACTGAGCACTTAACTAATTGTGGCAGCTCATATGAAAGCCTTGAGCACGGATCTGCTCATTAGTGTCTGGCCTGCAGGTCTGTGCCCCCTGACACACACATCCATATTCCCTCAGTATATATATATATACACACACAATACACACACACACACACTTTTAGTTTTTTTAACTTTCTTTAACATTTCTATTTTTAATGTTTGAATATTTCCTGGATCTTAATGAGAAATCAGGCACATTTAGGGACTGATATCCATGAGTGTGAGTGTGTGTGTGTGTGTGTGTGTGTGTGTGTGTGTGTGTGTGTGTGTGTGTGTGTGTGTGTGTGTGTGTGTGTNNTGTGTGTGTGTGTGTGTGTGCAGCTTGATAGAATTTAAAGGGACTGTTGAACTTAACCTGAACCTGAACCTGAACATCAGTGTTTGACAAAGTTGTGTTTGACAAACACTGATGCCACAGTGTTGCCTTCATGGTGTTAAGATGAACGTATGCTGTAGACATGTACAGTCGGTGGCTCTGGGGCATATTCCTCATTCTCATCCTCTTTCTGTCTCCCACTTTGCAGCGATCACTCTTTGGTTTTCTTTTTCTCTTCCTCATCTTTACAGCTCGTCTTCACCTCAACTCACCTCCTGTCTTTATTCAGGAGCTGCTGGGTCTTTTGTAGCTACATGTGTCAATCTGCTAATTTATTCTGACATGAACTCCGAAAAATTGGTTCAGGATATTCAGCCGGAGATTGTTCGGGTCAGAGGAGAAGGTCCGGAACGCTCAGGTGAGGGGTGGAGCCTGGGCAGAGCAGCAGGCGGCTGGAGTTTGACAGTTTGACATCTTTGACAACATCGTCTATGTGTTCGACTCCTCTTTCATCCAGAGATATTTCTATCCTTTGTTTTTTTCAGTTTCGTGTCCATCGTGCATTTGAAACATCAACACGGCCCCTCACTCTCTGTGAATTTGAACAAGTTCTTTAAATTCTGTTTGTGCTCATTCAGATGTAAATTCTTCTTTGTGTGATGGAGAAAGAACGCAGGGAGTGGCTGACTCTTATCTTCATCACGGTGTTCAATGGGGGAGAACATGTGACTTCTCTGATATGTAAGATATGTTCATAAACATTTAAGAATGTAACACCACACGATGAATTGATATAGAATACATTTTGATCTTGTCTACATGTCACATCCTTTACAAGCAGATTCCTCTGCGGCTGCCTGACTGTAGTGAAGGTCAGAAGTGTACGACTGCTGAGAATTTGGAAAAAACGCTAGGACGCCGACTAAGACTCGGCTTGTGGCCTCCAAGAACAAATAAATCTGCCTAGAACATGTTTTATATTGATATTGTGATGCTTCGCAGGAAGAACAACATTAGTGTATTTTACCATGTGGGTAAAAAGTGTGTCCAGATGTTGAGCGTCTCATTGGTCAGCTGGAACAGGCTCAGGACGCAGTCGGTGGCTGAGCTGCGGGGGTGTCGGTACCCAGAGATGATGCTGTCCTCGTGGAAAACCTCAAAAAAACAAAACACCTCAGTCAGTTATTTTACAAGTTTAACTTTTTTGATCTTGAGATTTTAATATTTTCTTGTAATGTAGCTTTCACCTTGTTATGCTTCTAAAAAAGTTTCATGTTAAATGAATGAAGAATAAATCAGTTTTGATTTGAACTGCTCTCTGCTCATGTTCAAACCAAACTTCAAGATTCAAGATCGAAGATTCGAAATGTTTCTCGTCACACTGGTTATACAGGTGTCATGTAGTTTCAAGTGCAAAGTAAGAAAGAATAATAACAATAATAAAAACCAAATCAATTTGTAATAATGACAATGAAAAGCTGAGCAATTATCATTTGTGTCTGTTTGTTGAATATTTATACGGATAATAAATTGCATTATTTATTAAATCGCTTCACGGTCTGAAGGTGTGGAAGGTGACGGACATGTGACAGTGATCTTTGTGTTCAGAAGTTCAAAAGATTAGGAGGCCGTGATTTAACAGTTTTTCTCTTCATGACATTAAACAGCGGATTTTGTCAAAAGCAGTTTCAGGCTTGGTAGAAACAATGATTTCATCTCCCATCAGAAGTGGATCCTTCTCACGTAGACACGTGTTGTCTGTCACACAGGTGAGCTGTGGTTGATGTTTACTGTGTGTGGTGACTGCAGCGTCGTACATGTAGAGATACAGTGAAGAGGAACTTACTTTGGGTACTTGGTTGATGGTGAAGACTCGTGGTAATCTAATGAGGCTGAGCATGATTGTGTGCTGCTGCTGCTGCTGCTGCTGCTGCTGCTGCTGCTGCTGCTGCTGCTGCTGAGGTCTGAGGTCTGAGCTGAAGTGAGGGAGTGCCTCAGTCTTTATACAGTTTGTGTGTTGCCATGCCGTCCTCCAGGTTCCTCCCCTCCATCTCCTCCGTCTTCAAACCCAGCTAGAATATCCAGTATACCTGAGAGCTGAGCCACACCTCCGCCTCCTCCTCGTCCTCCTGCTGTGTCTCTGTGGAGGTGTGTGTGTGTGTGTGTGTGTGTGTGAGAGCATACACCTGTGAGCACACCCCCCACACACACACCTCTCCACACGCACACACACACAAACATTTTGTTTTTTTTCTACTTTCTTTAACATTTCTATTTTTAATGTTTGAATAGTTCCTGGATCTTGATGAGAAATCAGGCACATTTAGGGACTGATATCCATGAGTGTGTGTGTGTGTGTGTGTGTGTGCAGCTTGATAGAATTTAAAGGGACTGTTGAACTTAACCTTAACCTTTACCTAAACCTTAACCTTAACCATAACCATTGTCTAACCTTAACCCAAAGCTAAACCTAAACCTAGCCTAAGAACATGTGTTTTTGTCTCCGTCCCCATAATGTGATACAGAGATTTAGGTCCCGGCAAAATGACACACACAGGCTTGTGGTGTGGTGTGTCCGTACTTGGACTTGTGTTACATTCAGAAATGATGTTTTGCCTCATTAGGACCAGACTTTAGTCTCCATGAAGTCTACTGGTTCTGAGAAAGTCAGTGTTGAATGTCTTAACATCTATAATCACAGCATTTTAACATGAGAACTGTTGTTTTCATAACAAAAGTCTTGTGTTTAGAATTGTGTTCACTTCCTGTCACCGAGTGATGACAGACGAGCCTGTAGAGCAGGTTTCAGTGAAAACCTCAGTTCGATGGCAAAATAAACAGCTGTGATTGACTTTACTGTTGTTGTGAGGCTGGTGTTTTCAGCCATTTTCCAGTTTCTTTCTAGAAACTCGGAGCAAGTGCAGCAGATGAGACGCTGCAGCTCAGTTCATCTCAGCTCAGCTCAGCTCAGCTCAGCTCAGCTTATCATCAGGCTCAGTCTGAGTTTCAAGGCTGTATGACTTCATGAATGGAGGGTGTGAATTTCTCTATCAGAAAAGTCAACAGAGTTCCTTTCGTGCCACTTTTCTCGCTCGTCTTCTTGTTGAACTCACATGTGACCATCTGCCCTCAGACCGACGGCAGCCGTCACACCCTGCGGAGACGGCCGAGCTTATCTTGTTCAAACTCTGGAGCAATGAAAGCAAACACATCTCACTGCCACTACAGAATTAAAAGATACAAGTTAGTTAATGTTGTTTTACATGTTCCACAGAAAAGAGATTTACAGGATAAAATTCTTGAGCTCTTCTGATTTGTGGTAAATCTACAGTAATCGGTAACCTCCAACCAACGTCATGCTGGCTGAAGCTTAGACGCTAATGTTTTAGGTTTTAAGAAAACTCAAATGGTTTTAAATACCTAATCCTGAGGCTTCTATTCACAAGTGCATCGAAATGATTCTTCATCAAATGTGTTTAAAGCATCAACATTTTATCCTAAAGTTCCTTTAAGCTCTTGGTGTAGTTATGTCAAAGCCTTTCTTTCAGTGATCCACCATGTTGAGTTGTACGCTGCAGCCACAGCAGCTCGCTGTGATGAACCCGCGCACACGACGCGCTGCAGACGAGCATCATGGGATCTCACTCTGCTTCCTCTCAGAGGAGCAGAGCTGCAGTCAGAGCAACAACAATAATGAACCAGCAGCAGATGCATGTTTGGTGTGCAGTCAGTTAGTGGAGTTAATATGTGAGTCATCAAGACTTTGTAGGGGAAACAATGGAATCAAAGTCAAGAGAGAGTCTGAGGATAGAAAACAAGGTCACAACCAAGTTTAATGTTGGAATATCAACGTGAGAGAGAGAGAGCGATCACAGGCGACTCTGCTGAGTGGAGAGAAACAGATTATATCAATAATAACAACACTACTACTACTACTACTACTACTACTACTATCTTTATTTATGGAGAACTTCTCAAAACAAAGTTACAAAGTGCTTCACAAGTAAAAGACCCATCTGTAGAAATACAAACAAATTACATAAAAACAAATAAAAAATAGTCATAAAATAATTTATAAAAGAATTTATAAAAGAATACAATCACTAAAATATAAGCAAGACCTCCCAGGACTGTAACAAAACTAGAATTAGGTCAAATTAAATGAAATATGGTAAAAGTCTGAAGATTTGATTTATTGGAAGGCACTGACTCAGCCGCCTGGATTTCCTCAGATAAACAAACAGACGCAGCTTCTTAGTGTGAAATTCAAGTTTAATTTCAACCTGTTGTTTTAATATTTTGGTGTCGTTTGTTTTCACCACTCGTTCTTTGACATGTGAATCAAAAGCAGTGTTTCATTGTCCTCAGCAGGTTTCAGGACTGTGGCGTCACAGCTGGGTGTGGTTGGGTGGGGTCAAGTGAGAGCTGTGTGGTTTCACACACCAAAACCTGACCGACACACTTCAGCTCAGGGCTCCCAGTGGCAAAACAACATGTGGACCAACAGGATTATAAACACAACAGGTGAATGGAAAGAAATGTGACAGGACACGAGGCTGAACCAGAGCAGGAATCAGAAAAACTGGAAATCAAAATTCATCACAGCATCGTCACCACCGGCTGCTGTTTGATGATGAGTCATGATAGTAACAACTAGAGCGTATATATCTCCACTAAGGTTCAACAGTAAATTCAATCAGGCTGCACACACAGACACACACACACACAGACACACACACACACACACACACACACACACACAGATATCAGTCACCTCAATGTGCCTGATTTCTCATCGAGATCCAGGAACTATTCAAACATTAAAAATCAATATGTTCAAACAATTCCAGGATCCACCCCCGATTCGGATCCACTTTAAATTTTCCTCGGTTCTCTCCTGACTCTCGGCATCTTTCTGTCAAGTCCTGCAGTAATCAGTGTGGTGTTTTTTGTGTGATGGTGCTAACAGACAAGCTAACTAATGGTACTCAGTGGAGTGTTGACCTCCACCGAGGCCCAACAGTCTCCTTACAAAACCACGTGTACATTTACGAGATCCAGATTTGAATTGGATCAGCACCATATTGAACACACTCACAATTATCGGTCCCCTAAACGTGACCGATTTGATTTCATCCAGATTCAGGATTTAATTTTCTGAGAAATTGCTGTACAATCAATCCTCAATACAATTATCATAAAATAAGAACGTAACAAATCCTTGATCAGACAGCGTGTGCTCATGTTGTCCTTTCTCTCCTCTGTGAGACACCGATTATCTAGAAATGTAATTATTTGAGATCCAGCAGTTACTGATATTGATGCTGACACTTGTACCACCCAGTCTCTCCGCAGGGTGTCAGTGTTTTCACACAGAAGCTGTGCTCAGGTTTGAAGCTTCATGATGAAGATTCATGATGAAGAACACTGAGGTTCATTCTTCATGACATGTTTTAAATCACTGAGATCCTCAGACTCTGACCTGAGATTCAACAGATTTCATTTGAACACGTGTTTTATTGGATGCATCAGTCAGCTCAGAGCTCACAGCTCCAAGTTGTGGAAGCGTCCCAGGGAATTAAAGTGCATCTCTGCAGGTTCTTCATGATGCTGCAGCGTCGCTCGCCTCTTATCGACTGTTAATGAGAAAAAGTACGAAGTTTGCTTCGGGCCACACACTCAGCACCTCGTTCTCTCTCTTCCTCTCCCAGAAAAAGATGAGCCCTCTGTGGAAAACACTGTTTGTGTGGCATCAGCACAACGACTGAGCAGCTCCTCGCATCAGATATTCAGTCAGTGTCACTGAGGCAAATGTTCTTTTCTTTAATGAGGAGAGAATTTTGTTGTTGTTTAGCGCCGTCGACCAAAGGAGCCAAAAGTCGTACAATTAATTATTTTCTAATCTCACTTGGTTTCTAATTTAATTTACACTGACGTGGAAAATATCTTGTACTTGCTCCATCACATCGTTTCACAGGGAAATATCTCTATACTTTAACTGATCATCATTACTCAGCAGATTTTAAAACAGTGAGTTTACAAAAAACAGAAGCACAGTTAGAGATTAAATCCTCTAAGAGTTTACCAAGTCGTTTCAGTTTCTGTCTGATATTCTTGACCTGGAGTGAACGTGTCAGAAAAAGTAAATGTGGTGTCATTATTAAAAATCACTTCAATGATCAACTGATGGAATATTATACACACATACACACACACACACACATGAACACACATACATACACATGTGTGTGTGTGTATATATATATATATAGTGCTTGATCATGATTGATCATGTATTCAACTCTAACTGGGACCGTGATTTACAAAATGAACATCATGCTTAAAGACTTGAAATGAGAGACTGTAACATTAAACTCTTAATTAAATCATTTTCTCGATGACTCTTTCTATATATATATATTATAGTGGAGTCGCCCTCTGCTGGTCATTCAAAACAGGTTTCAGGGAGTTCTGCATCGGCTTCACTTTCCAGACCTGGATTCGATTCCCATTTTTATAAATGTGATTTACACATTTATAGTCTCTGGATGTTCCTAATAAAGTGCTCATTGAGTTTATGTGATCATAAACAAGAAAAAACTACACAGTAATATTTGTAACAGAAATGATAATAATAATCTGATAATAATAAATATAGATCTTATTTTTATTGTATTTTCCTTGAATTAATCATCAAACAAAATGTTTTTCTTTACCTGAACCAGTAATATTAATAACATTAATACTGATATTGATAATAACAACATTAATAAGAATGTTACCGTGCTGACAGATGGGAGTTCTCCTGCTCTGCAGCTGCTCACAGAGTTTGCGTCTCCAAATGTGTGCAACTGATAAATTATTAATAATCGTTCGACTCCAGGCGCCTGTTTTCTCTCTGTGGGATTTCAGACTTTCCTTCACTCCGGAGCTCCCTCCTCCAACCACAGGCTCGTTTTCTCTCCAGCACATCTCTCATCCTCCCTCTTTACTCAACCCCCCCACTGCCACTGTCTCCTCATCGTTTCTCCTCCAGCATCATCATCACCATCTCGGACTCGGCTGGAGACGGTTCTGCTGGAGACTTTCATCCTTCCTGTCTCGTAAAAAGTAAAAAACTGTGTCAGCTGCTCATGAATGAACAACATACAGCTGATACCAGGTTTGGGAAAAGAGACAGTGGATTTATTTTAGCGTAACGACCATTTCTCTGGTGTTCATTTAGCAGAGAGGAGGAGATCGAGGTGAACTTGAAAACTGTCAATATAAACCAATATCCAGAAATGAAGTTTGAAAATTATTTGGCCGAGAAGAAGGAGAAAGATTATTAAATGATTCATAAAAGCTAAAAGAAGAAGACGACTCAGGGAGCTGCTAATAAACATTGACTGTTCATAAACATGGACGACGTGACGGCTCCCCAGAACTGAAGCCAAATCATGCTGATCGCCCCCTGGTGCAGGGCTGGAGAATAGATCACACCACATCACACCACCTGTCAGCACGTCTCCAGTTAATAAATAACTTCGCTGCTGGAATCTGCACTAATACCAAAGTGTAAAATCGACAATTTGTCTTGCAGCCAGCCGCCAGACCGATAAATCGTCTGCGTGTAACATGTATTTTTCAAAGTTTCAAAAGAGCCAGACTCGCTGTTTCCCCCTTTACTTCCAGATTTTGTGCTCAGCAAACCCAGGCGGCTGCCGGTCGTAGCCTTTGGTGTATATTTAATGGACGGATGTGAATGAAGTATTGATTTTCTCATCTCTCCCTCACTGCCAGAGAGCAAGAAAGAGGAAGAAAAACATATTCCCCAAAATATCAAACTTGAGATTAAAACCTTGGGAGAAATTAACTCGTCAAGGTTAAAAGATCAGAAACCTCAGGAACCTTTTGGGACCTGAACTGTCGAGCTGCACTTTTTAAGTTGATTTTCTTTCCGGATGCTTCCAGGTCCACTCTCTCCTCTGAGAGCCGCAAACAACGCAAACAAACCCAACGACGCCGGGTTCAACGCTGTGTTAATTCCATCAAGTGGGCAAATTTATTGACGGGATAAAGGCTGAGGCCTCCAGACGCCAGATTACCCAGGATTCACTGTAATGACATCACGACCATCGGAGGAGGCAGGAGAGGCCGACGCAGAGGCTGCAGAGAGCCGCAGCTTATTGGGTTTACGTTGGGTTAATTATAGGGCTGGGAGACAGAGCCGCCGTCAGGGGGGACGCTAATATCATTAATGTCGGGTGAAGAGGAGGAATGAGATGCGTGGGGTGAAGTGTGGAGCTGTGAGGGAGAAACCGTCAGGATTGTAGAAATGCCAGGAGGTAATGAAAAATGCAGGCGGCGGCAGGAGATGGTCTTTCTCAGGTATCAGCCTGATTAGAATCAAATATTAATCACTATTGTTTTTCTGCTCAGCCGTTTCTCAGAGAGGACGTTCAGCGAGAACAAACTGTTTCTCCACCGCAGAGCCGACGACAGACGAGAGCGGATCAACCGAATGTTTTTAACATCAGAAGAATGAACGGACCAGGATCTGAACCAGAGCTTCAGAGTCATGTGACTGTTTACATGTCCTCACCTGTGATACTTTAACTCTTCTCATTCTGTGCACACATCAAATTTAAATATTTAACGTTCATATTGCACATATCTTATTTCTAGTGTTTATTATAAATACATATATACCAGGAACTAGATAGAACCAGAGACCGTAGATAAAGATGGCAAACATGTCAGCTCCCAAAAAGTGAAGCCAGAGCACCTCCACTGCCCCCTGGTGGCCGGCTACAATATAGGACACAAACCCTGCCCCCCCCAGGTGCAGGTTATTTTAGCTTCAGTCCTGGATAGAGGGGAGATGTGACATTCGTCTTTATTTACAGATTAGAAATGAACATTTTCTATAGAATCTGAAGTTCAGAATTAAGAACAGTTCAAACGAGGATAAGGTTTTGATGTTAGAGCTACAGACCTGAGAAGAAGAAAACGTTTTTAATCCATCAACTGTTTAGTGTAAAAAAAAAGAAAAGTGATTTCCAATAATCCAGGGTTGATGTCTTCACATAACAATTTTTGACATTTAATTAAAGCTGAGGAACGGATCAATAATTGATTCTCTAATTCTTCTCATCTTCTGATGAATATTCTATTGATCGACTACTCAAATAACTGCACCAGTGGAAAGATAATTAACACTCACACCAGTCTCATTCATGGTATGAAGATCTTCAAAACACAGATGAGTTCCTGTTCAACGTGAGAGAAAGACCAGAACTTTAAGAAAAATGCTTTTATTTTTTACACCTTTTAAAAAGCAACTTTTATAGCACAAAGATTTACTCTGTATATAAACACGTCTCTTCCTGTGGCTAAAAAACGGTAGCTTTTGCACATTGTGCTTAGATTGCAAAGTCTATACAACTGCTCTGGGTCTCCTGTGGTGTAACGACCCCAGTAAACATTTTATTGCATAAATCACATGTGACCTCAGCGGCCATATGTTGACGTCTTTTTAATGGATAGTGGAAAGACGGGGAAAAAAAATACCACCAAGAACGAGGAAAAGGAAGTTCTCATCTCCATTATACAGTGAACAATCATAGCAGCTTTCTTAATGAAGGCGATGCACATTGTCCTAAAAAAAGAAAAATAAAGTGATTATACACGGCAGTTGTGCTTTTGTCTAGAAAAGAATCAAATGCAAATGATTTGAAAAAATAAACAAACAAACTGAGAAAAAAAAAAGTAAAATCAGCAAAAGCTTTCAAGGATAATTTGCAGCTATTGGCTCATTTCCCTTTTAAACAGTAGCTGACTAAATGCTAATCTCTAGTTGCACACATCCCCCGTTTACCATGAGCGAGTTTTACAAGCAAGTTGTTTTTGCTATAATCTATTTAACCTACATTTGAAAAACCAGCATGTCTCAAAAGGCAGTGTCTCACTCCACGACATCTCCGAGGAGACGCATCATTAAATACTAAGTGGAAATGAGTTTGCACAGAAATATACAAATTCCAATGTACTTAAATCAATGACTTTGGTATAACCAAAACAGAGAAAACATCAGTTCCTGACAGTTCCCTTTAAATGACAAAGAATCAATAATGCAAGTGTTCATGGGAAAAAAAAATGCCACCACCAAATGAACAAAATAAAAACTGCACATTACCAAAATGTGCACACACACACACACACACATCCACTCTGGAATAAAAGTGTTAATGTCACTGTTTGCGTCCACTATATAAACCTCTGAATTCAATGTTTGTTTTAGTGTTGACAAAGAAAAAAGAATCTCAGATTACTGATTCTAACACTGAAAACAAGATGTTGAATTATTATTATTATTACTTGAAAAGGTTTAAAAGCTGTAATGCTCTCAAACCGTCCATTTCTGCAGCTCCTCTTTTCAGTCTCCGTCTGAAACACTTGGTCTTAGCTCCTGTCTCTTTAAGACCCCCCTCCCGATAAACCTCAGTCTACTCTGATTGGCCAGCTGACCCCCTCTGTTGTGATTGGTCAACCACTTCCAGCACATGTGAGAATATTGGACATCGTGTTCTCATGTGAAGTTCAGTAGCTTCACTGTAAACTTCCTTTGGGCTTTTTAACTTTTGCAGAACTTTTACATTCACAAAAACCATAAAACACACAAGAGCAAAGACAAACTGAAAAAAAGCTCAATGTGTCAGGAACCAACATTTTTCATCGAAATGAATCACAAGCTTTTCCTTCATCTCTCACACCACGACCACCTGAAATCACACTCTGCGGGAAAATGCGTTTATCTTCCACCAGTTTTATGAAAACAACCAAAGAAAATTCACCATCACCACTTTCAGACAAACGACGGCGCCACATTCTCCTGCTTCTCATTAATAATCTTTAGAGCAGATCGATGAAAGCCTCATTGAAGCCGAGGGCTCCACTCCGTTTTGTTTGTAAAATGTGATGCCGGTGGATGCTGACTCATCCCTGACGAGCGACCTCGCCGCCCGGCCGCCTCTCCAGCCTATTAGCAGGGTGAATTGTTGGTGTCTGGGCGAGTCAGTTTCTCCTCGAACAGCGGTCAACAGGGCAGCGCTCAGATTAAAAACGCTGAGTTCATGCACCCGCAACAGCCGAGAGAGAGAGAGGGAGAGAGGGAGAGAGAGAGAGAGAGAGAGAGAGAGAAACGAGAGCCTCTTTGTGTTTATAAAGAATTCCCCTCCGGCTACACTTCTCCTGGCTTTGTCGATTTAAACGTTAAAAGCTGACATGGTTGTGAGATGCAGCTGCGCCTCTGCTGTTCACCTCCTCATCTGCTCTGATACACAACACAGATGTTTACGCTTCACCTGCAGTTCAGTTTTAGAGGAAGTGCTCCGCAGACGACTGTAAAGCTGCTTTCAGACACATTCCTGAAATTATCTGGGGGGGGGGGGGGGATGTCAGGAAAACTCTCAGCAAGCGAGTGGGCGTTTAGATGACGATTCTACCGGGCAACGAACACGAAACTCAAAAATCATGTAAATATCTCAGGATGAAAGAAACGTAGAAAACGTAGACAACTAAATTTCACCTGGAAAGACGAGAGTAAGAGCTGTCGGTGAACATCAAGACGCCAGTGATGATGCGCTGTAAACAAAAACACCTGATTTCCACTGATGAATTTACGTCGGAACATTCTGACTCCTGCATCGTCTGAATGTTCTGACCCAGACAATCTCCTGCTGCTTCTTCATATGTCAACGACAAACTCTGGAAAATTAGGTTCAGACCTTCTGGACATTTTCAGGAGTTCAGTTCATTTTTTGCCATTTAACAGTTTGAGTAAACTGATATGAAAATAAATAACGACTTGATGAAGGAGCTTCAGATAAAACTGATCTCAGTCAGATTTTCCATTAGAATTTGTCTTGTGCATCAGACACACTGATCTCCATTCATCCGAACTGCTGACTCATTTCCATCCGTACTTCCTTGTGCGAATAGGACAAATCCATTAGTTCTGAGGAAATGATGAGAAATCTAACCTCTACAGGTGGAACACGTGCGTGAAGGAGTTAAATGAATCTGACAGACACACAGAACTGATTGGACCGAGTTGGGATTCACAGCCAGGTTCTCTGAGATGGGAAACTTATGCTTTACAAACTGAGCTGAACTCAAAGTGATGCAGAACTAATTACTTTTAGCCGTGTTCCTCAACGCCACATGAATTATTAATGATTCTTTGTGACCAGCCAGACTTAAGTGGGGGTTTGGTTACAGCTGAGAATGGCGGCAACAGCACACGTTGTCTTTAAACTCCTGTTATAGATACAAGCACTACAGCAATGGTGACAAACTAGGACAAATGATTAATTCTGATTATTGGTGGTTTCATCTCATGAATTGTAACAGGAACACTCATGTTGTAGCAGCTCCATTCCTCCATTTCTACAGACTCTGGTTACAAAATGAGCAAGATGGCGTTTGTATTCGGGATATTTTGGGTTAATTTCTAGATAGAAGGTAGAAATGAGGATGAGTCGTCCATTTATATTTACAGTCTAAAGTAGGAGCCAAGGAGAGCATCTGGTAGCTGAGCCTTTCAAATAAAAGATGGTGCTTTAACAGACACACGGTCGAATTTAGATTTAACACAAATACTTAAAAGGAGTTCAGCTCACGAAGAAGAAAAAAACCTAATCACCTAAAAAACTTTTGTCACTTTTTATCTGCATCATAAAGAAGAGTGCTTCAGAAAAGACCTGGAAGCTACTGGTTCTGAAGCGTCAAGCATTTGACTCCTCTTCAAACAACGTCCAAAGGTTACGGGATAAAACGATGCATTTGAGAAATAAAATGCAAAAGTTTAAAATATTGATATCATTCTTTTTTTGGCAACATTCTGCTAATAATTTATCATATATTCTGTTATTTACAGTTTATCTATTTCAATTATCTTTGCAACTCTGGGATGAAATGGTAAAAAAGTAGTGATGGATTTATCGAAGACCGTAGATGTGATTCAATTTAAACTATTTGAAGGGTTTCATCTTTCTCTAATATTGTATATCACACACACACACACACACAGACACACACACCAGGTCTGTGCATAATTACAAACACTCGCTGGAGGAAAAAAGGGGGAGAGAGCTACAGTCGGCAGAAAATATAAAACCTGCAGAAGATATGAGAAACTTTTAGAGTTGTGAGCTGCAGCTGATTAAACTCATCTGTTACACTTTGAACCTCAACCAGTAACACACACACACACACACACACACACACACACACACACACACACNACACACACACACACACACACACACACACACACACACACACACACACACACACACACACACGTCACTTCAGCTGGATCATATTTGTGGATAACAGTTTGCCTAGTTGTGCTTGGCACGAATCCCTTTTAAGTAGTTTTTCCAGCGCTTGACCACATCTTTGAAGATGGGAGCATTGTCTATGGATGCCAGCAGCTGCAGCTGGTTAATGTGCGTGGTGTGATAGTCCCACCGCGCCAGGTTGGGCGCGGTGCCCAACATGAAGTGTCGCAGGTCATAGATGCTGCCCGACCCTGTGTCAAAGAGCGGCAGCATGGCCTTCAGCGACTCCATGCCGCGGCTGAACAGCTGCCCCGCTTCCCTGCCAACCTTCTCTCCGGCTGTCTCAGTCAAGTCGTAGAGTCCCAGCAGGGAGTAGATGAAGCCGTTCAGGACAAAGGAGCTGGGTGTGGTGGGGTACTCCTCATACCAGTCGTATTTGTTCATGAACACAGCTTTGACCCCGTGCTGCGCTGAAGGCACCTTGTAGGGTCCGACTGCCTTGAGGGCAGCGTTGAGGTAAACCTGGTCCTTGGTGAGGAGGTAGGCTCTCACTAAGGTGGACATGGCCTGGCCCTGAGCCATGGCCGAGTACCAGCCGGGCTCCAGAGGGCGGAAGCCTTCGCCCAGTTTGCGAGTGACCATGATGGGCCACCCGCCTCGTTCGTCTTGGTTGCGCACCAGCCAGTCGCTGGCAGCAAAGAAGGCGGCCATGTGGGCAGTGGTGGAGATGGTGACGTTGTCCACAAAGCCGCGTCCATGTAGAACTAAGCGCACCACTCGTCTGGGCATGATCTGAGAAGAAATGACATAAAGGTTGAGAAAATCATCTACGGGTGGAATGAAAGGGCACAGTCACCGGAACTGAAACTCAAAGATAGAGAATTAATTATTAGTTATGCTCCAGTTTTCGGGCGACAACTAATGATTTGTCATTGATTAATATGCAGATTATTTTCTTGTTGAATCAATAATTGGTTTTATCAATGAGAAATGACTTGTTCTATACCAAACATAAAACCAGTCATCATTACACTGAGAAGCTGAAACAAGAAAAAGTTTTACATTGTTTTTTCATTAACTCTCTTTCTGGGGATTCCTGATTTGAAATGATTTCTCCTTTATCCATGTGAGTGCTGATTCATTTTCTACTGATATTTGATGATTTGTTTCAGCTCCACTCCAGTTACATATTTATTAGAACACAGATATTTTATCTTCGGCAGCGGACATCTGACATGAACCAACCTTAGTGGCCTTCACAGCCTTGGTGTTGGACAAGCCGACGCCCTTCCTAAGGTCGGTGAGCAGGTCGCGGGTCAGAGTGCTCCAAGCGGTTCGCGGCCCGATTCCGTAGGTGATCTCGTGATCTTTGAAGGCGATGAGCTGCGAGTTGGTCACATAGCGAATGGTGAAGGGCGGGCCCTTCTCTGTGGTTTCCAGGGTCACGGACACGCTGCCGTTGGAGATAAACTTGACGTCCAGGCTGAGGATAAAGTCTTTGGAGTTTCCCAGCTGGAGGGAGACGCCTTCTGACGACTCTGTGGTGCAGCAGAGAAAGAAACGTGTCTGAAGCTGGAGAATGGCAGGAGAAGGTACATCTCACAGCTCATATTCAAGTGCGTTCCTTCAAAAATAAAAGACTTAGTGAATTTAAGAACTTCAGACAGTTACTAGACGACAATGGGTTATTTTTAGCGCAGTGACTGGAAGTCTGTCTCTGAAAACAGTCGTCTTTGATGCTTCAATGGGAGCTCGTCTTTTTACTCGTGCTCCCAAGATTCACTCTGTAGTCACACTGTCAAATCAATAACAGACAGACAGCTTCAGACATACTCTCTGCTTTTTATTACTGGGGTCATGAATCGTTATTACCTGTGTGAAGTGTGTATGACGAGTGAGTGTGTGTGAGGTGTGAATGAAAACTGTGCGTGTGCATGAGTGCAGAGAGAGAAGTTAGACGCAGACACCCGCAGACAAGGTTCTCATGGGAAGTAGAGTACAGATGTTCCACTGCACATTGAAATTAATTAGGAGAACAGAGGAAAAGAAGTGAGAGGCAGCAGGATGGAATAAGAGAGCGTAGCCACTGTGGCTCGGCTGTCGAATCGTCTACTTTAGTTAACAAAGTTCCAAACTGAGGGAAACCAGAAGTATTTGAGCTGCAGCCGTGACTCAACTTCATGTTTTTTGGTACTTTTCGTCAGCAGTCTTTGTGTGTGTTCCTTTGTCCTCTGCCTGTTGAGGAGGAAATCAGAGTGACAGACGGATGTCAGGAGAAGATGAGCCACATCTGAATCCATTTCTCCTGATAGTGATACTAAAGGTTTGGACAAATCAGTTGTCTCCCTCTCTCTCTCTCCTCCCAGGAGAACGGATTTTTGTTTTCTTATGTTTTGATAGTTTTCTTTTCTCTCTCTTTCTCTCTCTCTCTCTCTCTCTCTCTCATAGCCTGAGTTACACTTTCACACTTTCTAGCTCTCACCACATAAATGATACTACTGACCTACATATTCCCCAGTAGATTTTTGTAGAGCTCACTATTAATGCTGTTTTCAGGCATAATCAGAAACAACTCTACGGTGTTTGCGTTTCACATGTGCAGAAAGCAGCAGGAGATCGTTGGGGTGAGATTTTTGTTTACAGCAAATCCACAATGTCGTCTGCCCTCATCGCCAAAGGCTCTTAAATCTCATTGTCTTTCCAACTTGACATATTTGTCTGCGTCTGTCTTCTATATATTTTCTCGTTTTCCTCCTGAGATATTTGTATTCTCACATGAGCCGTTCCATGACAGAGTGCAACTTTTCTACTTTTCCAATTTCCTTCCAACAAATCTCAACACCCTGCCACGGCTCCCCTCACACCCCATCATCTCTTAGCCAGTTAAACTTCAGTTGAGTTCATTTCAACACCCTGGAGCACAACAAGCTCCTCGATTGATCTCCCCTTTGGCCTCATTGCTGGGTCTAAACAAACCTTTCTTCTAATCAATGCTCCTCCAAAGGATGGAGGAAGGACGGCGTGAAGGAGTCAGGAAATAGAAAAAGGAGGGTAATGGAAAGATGGGTCGCACAAGTGCCCTTAAGGCCAGCTGAAGAGTGGAGAGAGTGAAAATGAGCCAACAGTGAGAAGACAATTGAGAACCCGAGACAGAGAGATCTCACAAGACACGAGCAGACGAGTTCGACGGAGACACAAAGAGAGTTGATCAGCAGGAGAGTGAAGGAGAGAGACAGTCTGGCAGGGGCCTCTGGTTGACTACAGCTCTTTAATGCACTCATAAATCCATTACTTAAGGCAATGCAGAGAGTAAGTGGATTTGTACGCTGGCCCTGTGATTACTCTGCCATCAATAAAGGATGGGCAGGGAATATAGAGGAGGAGATTCCACCTCCTCTGCTCAGCTCACTGGCTGTTTAGCAATAAGGCAGTAGACAGAGGAGACGTGCAGCTAGAAGCACATGTCAGCGCAAAACCCTGCTTGTTTACATGAGCGAGCGTGTGAGACCAACACTTGAAAACACATGTACGGTGCGTGTTGTGCGTCGGAGGATACAAAAGATCCAAGTCACAAGACAACAGTCAACATCGTGAGAGTAGAGGATTCAGCCAGAATCTCTGGACGCATCTGGAGACATCATGTTTATTTAACACCTTGAGAAATGTTAATGTTTTTAGGGTTGATGGTCAATGATTTTTCTTTTTTATCAATTTATTAATTATTTTCTTCAATTTATCTTTTGTCCATGCAATATTATAAAATATGGAAGAATACCTTTTATAATTAACCAAAGGCCAAGGTGATTAATTCAAATTATTTTGGCAAGAGTCCTAAATTGAACATTCAAGAAACTGAAACCATAACGACAACGTGACCGTTGGCCTTTTTAAATTTGTACGTTTTGATTTAAAGAAATCGAAAAAATTATAAAAATAGTTAACCGTAACCTTCTTTCAATTTCTTTTAACAAGGAATCAAAGGAGATTTAATTAGGCTTTTTTACATGAATAAATCTAAAAATCCTACTGAATACAATTACACAATCTTTGTGTAAGTATTCACTCCCTTCAAGTCAGTTGCACATTTCACCTTTCAGCCTTGGGTCTTTGTACCATAAACTGTATATAAAGATAGACGACGCATTTCGACTTCCTCCCACTAACCAGAGATTAAGTCAAAATATCACGGCTATGAACGCTGCCACCTTGGGATGACGTCATTTGAAACTGCCCAGTGGTGATAGTGGAGAAACGGTAGACGATAAATGCTCTTGATCAACCGGAGTCAGAGTCAGTCGAGTTTAATCCTGTTTTTATAATATCAAATAACTAATCAAAACCAAACTTGCTGGGAGATTGAGCACAAGAACATACAACTAAAATCTCTAATATCAGGCAAGTGGATCACAGTTGCATTTACTGACTTTGCATTTGTTGATGAAGTAGCTGCTCAAGGACTGAAATCTTAAGGATAACAACTTTAAAGAGACTTTGTATGTTTATCACTGTTCATAAATTCATAAAATCTCTTTAATTTGGTGCAGTAACACTTTGAAGATTGAAGAAAACTTCAGACGAAGTACAGCTGGTGACAGATGTTACTTCATCTGCACAAAGTGAACACTAATTCTAACAGTGATTAGTTTGTGCAAACTGCATTTCTATACTAATAATGGACCACGAGGGGATTCAGAAAATAAAGGTGCTCCGTGGAGGACAGTGTTCGTGCAGCAATGTGCAGATGGTAGACAGTGGGTTATTATCAGGGGACGGACGATTGATCCACTTGTCAGAAGCTTTGAGGGGCTGTTCAACACAGGTGCCCTAGATACAGTGCGGAGGGATAAAAAACTCAAACAGAAAGAAGGGAGCAGGAGGAGAAGGGAAGGGAGGCAGAGGACAGAAAGAGAAACTGACAGCAGAGGAATAAAACAAAAAAATATGTACGAGAACAGAAGGCATTAAAATGGATCAGACAAATGTGACTGCAACGTTTAGGACGCACAAGAGGGTTGAGGGGTGATAAGTAGGTGGAAATGATAAAATAGAGGTTGAAGACTGAAATATGTTGATAGACAGTGAAGATTAATGGACAATGAAGACTGTCAAGGGAAGGCTGAAGAATGATGATGAAAACATGACGATGTCAGGGAAAGAGAGAGCTGCGATGGAGAGCTGAAGCTGTAAGCTACAAGCTGAGCGATGAGCAGAGACAAAAAGCTGTAGAGCGGTGGAATGAATAGAAATTGATGATAATGATGATGAGAGAAAAGCTGAAGAATTAGGAGGAGGGGAAAATTACAGGAGAGACAGACAACCACTCAATAGACATCAGAGAAATGAGACTGTCCTGGAAATCTCAGCAGATCAGATGAGAATAATGAGTTCACAGTCATCGCCTCTCCCGATTCCAAAACTATCTCTGCAAAATATGTTGTGGCTGTCGTATTTTTACACTTGAAAATTTAGCCCAGAGTTCGAGTCATTTATTTAGACCACTTATAGATTTGCACAGTCACTGCATTTCTTGTGTTTCACATCACAGCACAAACAACATCCATTCATCCAACTGAGACAAATCTGACAGTTTCCGTTCCGTGTTTGTGAAACTGACCTTTAAACAGAGGATCAAGAAATCCTGTGGAACGTTCTGATAAGACTCGTTGTCATAAGATTTACAGCAGATATGTTTGAGCTCTGGTACCCCAACACCAGAGAGTCAACAGGCAGCAGTCTACTAACTCCAGCTGCTTTCAGACATGTACTGAAGGAGTTGTATGAGAGAATGCAAATGTCCAAGTCAGTTGCTCTGAACATTTCCCGAACCTTCATCAGCCAGCCCAGAGTAAAATGTTCTGAAAATGTCAAAATGAGCCCATGAGAGAATTATACAGGAAAAAGTCCAGATTTTCATGGGGGTGTGCATGAGGTTTCTACCAAGTGACGCAAAATTGAAACATACAAACATCTCAGGAGTCATATACCTGTAGAAGACACCATGTTGAAACTTGTTCATCCATCATGTCCCGCCTCTTGCATGTTCTACCCAGAGTTCTCTGTAAATGTTCATGCTGTTGTGAACACGTCTGACCCGGACGATCTCCTGCTGCATTTTTCATATGGGAAAGGCAAACTTCTTTCCCAGGCCCAAATGTCCAAACCCAATTTTCTAGACATTTGCCAGAGCTCATGTCTGAAAACAGCTTCTGAGCTCAGCAGTGGGGTTTGACAGGGCTGTGTTCTACCAGGGCATGACCCACAATGCCACCTGTGGATTGTTTGGAGCTGTTTTCAGCAAGGTCTATATGACAGGACTTCATTATGCTGATGATGTCGCCCTGTTGCTGAGGTTTGAAACTCAAGCTCGAGGCCTCTCAATCTACTGGGGTCAGACAAAGGTGTGCTTGGTGCTTCAGTGAGCTCCTCCCCACATGCTCACAGCTCACCATTGCTGACTAAGGAGTAGAGGCCATGATGTCCATTTGTCAGCTGGGAAGCTGTAGGAGTGACCAGGATGTGAGACGCAGGATCAGTCCTGCTTCTGACACCTTCGCCATTCCCTCTCCCTTATTAGAGGAATAGACAGCCAAGCTGTTCAAACTCAAACTGAGAATGTGCATCAGCCTGGTCCCGTCTGTCCTTATCCAGACACTGACCTCAGACCTGAGACGACATCTGGCTGCCTTTGATACCAGCTGTCTGTGCAGGATAGGAAGCTTGAGGTGGTATCACAGTATCTCCAATGCTGCACTGCAGCAGCTCAATGCATAGCCACCTGTCTCAGCAAGGATCAGGGCCAGATCCTCCCATTAAACCTGCTCAACTGCTCTGGGAGCTGCCACCCTGAGGATGGTCCAGACATCCCAGAAGAACATGGACTAGTCTCCTGTAGGAGGACCTGAGATGGCCGGGACTATAGTCCAGGGAGTACAGCACATATGGCCTGGATGAAGTGCATGCTGATGGAAGTTATCACAAGCTCAGTGTTTGCCTTAAGTGACCTAAATCATGCCAGACTGAGATAATGACCCAAATTATTGTGAACCGTTCTCAAATGAACAGAAAAGATCTCTAGCATAGTGTTTCATGCAGTGCACTGATTCGCTCAGCTGTATCTGTGTTCATGAATCATTTGGTCAGAATTAAAATCCCAAATGATAAAAATGCAGTGCCGGAGTCTGCATCCCGACATGTACTCATACTGCTGCCCTGAAAGTAATTCTGTTTGGGACGCAATTCAATGAACAAGAGGTTTTTATTTGATATTTTCCCTCTTCCAAGATCAATTTTTAGATGCATAAGTGAGAAAACTGCACACAAAAACGAATGACTACATGGTCCGAGGCACCTGGAGCACAGTGTTCTCAGTACCATACGAGCCCTGGATGCAATGTGAGTGAGGTGAATTAAATTTGATTCCTTGGAGGTAAAACGGTGCAAAGTCAGTAAGCTTTATCACAAGAGATTAAATTTTATGAAAGTGTGTTAATTATGTACTTGAGGAGAAATAAAGAGACAATAGGGCGACAATTCAACAGTTCGTAAGGATCTTTTACTTCTGCCTGCAATTTTCAATTTTCATTTTTGAGATGTTAACTCAACCTGTGACTCTAGCTATAGTATATATATATATATATATATATACACATGTGTGTATGAACATGTCATTATACTGCCTGTGTAATGAGCCCATACAAATTTCTAATAATTAATTACAATAACAAAAAATTGTTTATTAATCAAATTGATAAAATAACATATAAATCCCTTGAGATAATGTTAATAAGATAAGGATATAAGCCTTTTGACAACAGGAAATAACGTGATGATAATCTACATAATTTTGAATCAACAAATTCAATAAAAAGACAATCTGTCAAACACCCGATCTAACTTATTCCTACAGCAAAAAACAAGACTATGGTTATAATTTCATCCTCTGATAGTCGTGTTCTCACTAAAAAGAGGAGTCTGAAGCATCAGCAGGAATTTTCAAGTTTCGTTTAGACAACATAATGTGACAACGTCTGAAATAGGATGAAATGTGTGAAGCTGCTTCTTTAATCAATGCTGTAATTAAAGGAATCTGTCATTATGTGGAGTGTCCGCTGTCACCCAACATCATCTGCTGGTATTCTCAGACTGTGCTGGTGACTCATCCTGTCCTGAGGGTGCAGCTGCATATCGAGCTTCTTGAAGCCACAGTTAAAGGAGATAAGCTGCATGCCTGCAGGCTATCCGGGCTCGTGGCAGGTTTACTTACCTGGGGCACTGAACTGACGCACGGAGGTAGCCCGGGTCTTGTCGTGGACACGGCTGAGAGCACAACCTTTTGGCACGCTCCAGGGTGCTGTGCTGGCCCGGCTGTCTCTCTCCTCGGCTGTGTCGTAGACCTCCACGTGGGGGGGGCGCTCAGTCAGGTTTTTGCTGTAATGGCTCAAACCGTACTGGGCAATCTGGATGGCGTAGAAGTAGCCCTGAGGGCCCCACTGAGTGGAGAGAGGCACGCCTGGGTGAAAAAGAGGGAGGGTTATAAGGAGAAGGATGTAAAATTAAATAAACGAAATGAGACCATAGATATTGCAAACATTATGTCTCTGTAGTTGGGTTTCATTTTCTAGCTGTTACTTCTGGGGTGTTCTAAATCTTGTGGTCACATGATGATTTGGTTTATGAAATGTTTTTTTTTTTTTTTAACTCTGCAGGGTATAAAGCAGATCCTTTTTACATGGCAGCTGACATAACCATGATTACATCAATAACACTGGACAAAATGAATAACTGTAAAATCTTAATTTGTAAACACAGAAACAGAAGAGAGCAGAAAATGGTCATTACAAATAAAGAGCAAAGTGAAAAAAACACCAGCAGCAGCTACAGCTAATAATTTCACAGTATGGTGAAATCCAAGCTAATCTACTGCATTTAACCGGAGGCGAGCTTCTCTGTTCACACAGCCAGAAATAGCTCAGGCAGGAGCATCACTCTGATTAACAGATAGTTCACTTCAGGACCTTGTGACAGAGAGAGCAAATGTGCGATTTAAACCCCATCCTCCTGTGAAGAACATAATATGCTCAGATTAACGCTGGTGATAATGTGCCTCCTTCTTTATAAAATAATTACCCCTCCAAACATAGCTGATCACTTATATTTTCTGCCGGAGATATACTTGCTTTGAACTACCCCTATGCAGGAGCATCATGGAGCTCGCATATCCTGAAGTTTGATTCTTGGATTGTGCATGTCCTCAGAAATGAATGCATCCACACGATGCAGTACGCATATTAACAGTGGGGGCAGATACTCTCGATTGTCACAACATTGTTGATTTAACGGCCTCTCATACCGTCTATCATGGAGCTGTGGTCGCTTTTAACTATAAGTAACCTCTTCCAGTGTTTTCATATTGCACATCCAAAGGTTATATATGGTCTGAATTCTGCAGTGTAAACTCTACTGGAATACTCAGGTAGCATGCGTAGTACATGGCGAGTATGTAAACAACTAAACTCATGATGCTTCTGGGTGTCAACGCAAATGTGTATAAAAAAGAATTTGTACAACACCGCCTGATAACTATCATAATATATTTGATTGCGTTGGTAAAAGAACACAGAAAGAAATACATAAACACACATACACACTTATTCATCTCCACAAACACACTTTCTTCCAATTCCCTGCCAGACTTTTCTCCATGCCTGTCTTGTTACTGGCATCTCCCTTGACAACTTAAGTCAAATGACTGTCAAAATCCTAACTCTGTAGCACTGTGCTACTCTCGCTGAATAACTCTGAGTAATCCATGTGGAATTGACTGTTAAGCCTCCGCATATTTTTGTGACTCCAGAGAGAGAACTTGAATTCAAAATCTTAAAAACTAGGTCTTCTATTTATTACAGCAGCTTCTCAACCCACTGAAGTTAATATTGCTACATACTACCTTTGTCTCTGACCTCTAACAGGTCGGAATGTGAGCAGAACCTTAAAGCTGAATATCTGCACCGCGTCAAGAAAGTGATGATTATTGTGCTTGACCCACTCAGCAGTTTCTTTTAGATAAACTTCTTTAAGTGAACAAGCTCAGACCATCTCACTGTGAGGAACCAAAGTAAACTGGTGGAGGTTCAGGATGTTGCTGGTGCAGACCAAAGCTGGACTAAAGGCCAATGAATACTGGACATATTCTTGATAATTGTTTGCTAATACATTTTCCATCATAGTTAAAGAAACCAATGGTTTATCAGGACTGTTTTTCCCTTAGTTATTTTGTAGCTTATCTGCCTCCTGGTGGCTAAACTGTCTTAACGCTGCTTTAATGTTTGGAATACAGCTGAGTTCATCATGAAACACTTTAGGGGAATAATACTATAATTATTAAGCTGGATACTACACTTCCTGCTGCTAAGTGTTTCACAGAGCAGTGTTTCCCATTAATTAAGTAGACTGTGGCACACCCCAGCCCCCCCACCCCCGGGCAGCTACCGCCACAGATTCCATCCAATTCAGTGGGAAACCCAGCAGAACACGGGGATTGAACACTCGACAAAATGCCTCATCTGGCTCTAACCCAGCTGTATTAAGTAATTATGTGAAAATCACATGCACTGCAGGTGTAAGTCTATTGAAAACAGCACAAAAGAAAAAACTAACAACGCTCACTGTCTCCAAACCGCAATTTTTATTCTATTTTTAAAATGCACAGATTGAAATGGGATCGAAATGTTGTCCATTTAAATTGCTCTGTGGTTTGGAGTCAATGTAATCGCGCTGTAACCACAGTGGTTTGCAGCAGTGCCCTTGATTCTGTTAAGACTACTTCCCCTCGGTTCTAGAAAGTGATCTATTGTGTTAAGTTAAAAGAAACCAGCCATCAAGAGCATAAGTGATAATGTGAGCATTTTATCAAGCACTTTAAAAGCTATAAGACAAGTTTTATTACTGTGTTTGAACAAATGTTTAAGTGATGGTGGTCTGCAGCAGAACGGGGAGCAAAGATAAAGGTAGTGCAAGAGGAAGTGGGAGACACAAAGAACGAGACGTATCATGATTTAAGAGGGTGTTGTTTGGGAGGATTAACTACATCCACTAATGATAGTGCCCGACTGCTGGAGCTTCATTTTTATCAACTTCTCAAGGCTCCTGTGGCTTAAGGCAAGTTTGATTTAACACTTTTTAAGACTTTAAGACTTTTAATGCCACTCAGAATCAAATTTGAGACCAAGCTGTAACTGCATGAAAACGTGTGGGCAAAGTATGCTACTCTCTCATTTAACTTGAATGACGTGGTGTATTGTCACTGTGTTCAGGCACAGTACCTCTGCTTTCAGTACGGGCATACACCTGAATGTGGTCTGGAGATCCAGCACCGCTGGTCCTGGTGAACGTGTTGGAGATGACCGTAGAACACAACAGGGATTTCTTTGAATTTGCACTTAGAATTTTGCATGTATGTAATTTTGAATTTCCCTCACTGGGATTCTCTAACTGCAATGAGAGTAACAAATGATTCCTAAAATTCTACATCCTGTGTCTTAGCATTTTTAGAGACACTTTATAACCAGTTTATGTTATATTTTAGACTAATGAACTCAGTGTGTGTTTAGACTTTTTAAGGAACCTGCTTCTGATCTGTGTCATGGAGACTCTGGGGAATTAAAGACCTAAATGTCTAAAACTACAGTAGAATCACAGGCCCTCCAGTAGATGGGATGATTAATGACCCATAAAAGAGCTGCAAGTGTTTCATGAATCCAGACAACATACATTTGCATTCAAAGACAAACACCCTCAGTCTAAATTTTTTTCGTCCCAATACTAACACAGTTTAAAGAAAGAAATTACTTTTTGAGATGCGGATATCACTACAATTTATCGTGATGTCCAGTGATTCAATGCGAGAGTGATGTAAAGTGGTCATTATAACATATTTCTCATATTCCTGTTAAAGCACTTTCCACTGGTAGGAGGAAGCATCGGGAGAGGAAAGCTCCCATGACCTTGTCTGAGCCCTAAGGTGCCTCTGACTGTGACAGGCTAATTAATGAACTGCTATTTTCACCTATAAAAATATGGTAAGTTGAAAAGAGGTGTCTAAGCTTGTGGATGTGGAGTGCTACATAGCAAAGAGCCTTGGGCTTAATTAATGGACCTTGATAAATTGTGCGTGTGTGAGTGTGTGGGTACTGCAGCGTAGAAATGTTGCCTCGGTTCTATACGAAGAGAAACGATCTGAAAGCAATTGGAGGTTGAGAATAACTTGGCTCCCTGTTGCTCAGCCCAGAGAGACGGCTATATTCCATGTCTGACCCATTTTCCACTATGTATGTTCCGTCCCACCCGTGTTGCATTTGGGCACAACTATGGTGAAGGTAACATAACTTGTCGCCCAGAAAGGTCATTATGGGCAGCAGCTCTGATTAAAAAAAGATGGAGAGCTACAAACATATAAAAAGCAATTTATTGAAAAACTACCAAAGTTAATGGAACTCATGGGACAAATGTGTTTTTGGGTTTTCTGACCTCCCTCACAATCCTGTTTTCTCCTGAATAAATCAACATTTACTACGTGTACCCAGTGGAAAAGGACTTAGGACTGTGCCTGAATAACCATAAACTGCACCCTTTCAACTTCAATGATAAAACCAATGTTAGACTATGTAAGGGAAGAATTTGGGGGACAACCGCTTCACTTTGACTTCCTGTTGTGACCTGATTTTTGTGTTTTTAATGGTGACTTTTGTTAATTGACAATAAAGGATGCATAATTAATCTATTTTGGAATGTTAGACAAGTATGAAGAAGTAGTTCTTCAAGTAAGCACGGCACGGAACTATATTGATGACAATGTGGTTTGAACTAATAGTCTTTTCAAATGAGCTATTGATTCTTCCTGGCAATTATTTTGAAAGGAACATTGAAAGGGAAACAACTTTGAGGACTAAGTGTGGGGGGAGGGCAGAGAAATGTATTCAGTCACCAGAGTTCCAGCCGGATTATCTACACAAAGAAATGTTCAAATGTCTGACTGAAGACAACGTACATTTTTTATTGACTTTCTAATCTGTGTTTGATATCCGTGTCAGTTATCAAGAAAAGTTATACTTCATTTGGGAATGTGTGGCAGCGATTGAGTAAGTGCTTCTCAAATACAATTAGAAATCCAGTCATTTCATTCATGATGCATCATTTTGCTGAAATAGACCTCATTGAATGCACCATATATTTCTCAGTGGCGTTAATTGTATTAAAAACCTAAAACTGAATCACAGGTTATGATGAAATACTCATTGTATGTATTGGGATGGCACACTTTACATTTCTGTTGTGTTGATGGTTCATGTGATGAATGAATGAGGAAACCTGGTGGTTTACTTTGGTTGGAGTCAAAGGGAAAGTCTTCTAAAGATTAGATCATGTTATTACCTGCACCAATAGGGTTCAGATTTCAACCCTGTTCGTTTGGCTCGACCTCACTTTGTAAAAGTGCCTTGAGATTATCTCTGTTATGATTTGATTCGATTTCCATAACACTTGGTGGAAGGAAGCACCCACCGGGTTAGAAAAAAACAAATTAAAATTGCAGTTGATTCTGAGAGCAGATGCAGAATTTTTTTCACTTTGTTAAATATTGTGAGATTATTTAACATTTTCACAGTCGTCCCTTGGAATAATCATTCAAAGAAAAAAAATCTGGAAGATTTATGTTACTTATATCTATGTGTGTTTGAATTTTGGTGCAGCTCAACTGAATTTAAGGGGACTATTTCCAGAGTTATTCGCTCTACTGAGTGACTACTGTTGTCAGTGTGTTTGCATATTGAATATTTTATGCTCTTGTGTCACATGGGGAAAAAATACCAGCACACTGAAAATCCAAATCCAAACTGAAGCTAAGGGTATTTTTTCCTGTAGGATGAGATGACTGATCTTTGTTGTGAACACGCGACATCTTTTCACATTTGTTTTTCTAGTATTTAAAATAACACAATTCATATATGAGTTCTTAAATATATTGGTGTTTAGATGCATGCTAACTTGACTTTATGTACCTCGAGCTGTGTTCAAGTATGTGAACATCAATAATGAAAGTCTTACCTTCCACTCCACTAATACACTTGACGCGGTCACGGACCTCCACGTTGTATCCCTCAAAAGACATGAAGACTCCATCGGGGTGGTAGGGCTCACGCTGCGTGTAAACCTTTGAGTAGCTGTGCTGGAACTCAAAACGGTCGTATCCATCATACTGCACAACTTTTCCGTACACCTCAAAGTATTTTTCCATCCAAGTGAAGGGCAGGTAGATCTCTCCACCTTCACGGCGCCCTTTGATCGTTGAGTCATCGTTGATCAGGCAGTCGATTTCTTCATACTTGATGCCGCTGACACCCCCAACAACAGGCGGGGGCTCTGGAGGTTGGGGAGGGTGTTGTTGGCTGCTGATGCTGGCGTCCCCCACCCTGGGACTTGGAGCCACTAGGGCGGCCCGGGGAAGGAAGCGCACCGAGGTGTCACTGGAGCATCGGTTCCACAGCAACACAGTGATGAGTGTGAAGAGGGCGCAGATGACAATGAGGGTCTTATAGTTAACCCGAGCAGCCAGGCAGCGCATTGTCACAGGTCACCTGTAGGACAAAAGCACATGAAATACAAATTTAATAATGATTTCTTCACAGTCATTATATGTTACTGAATTATCATTATTAGAGAACAAATGACAAAGTGTAAAATGAGCACATCTAAACACAATGACTTAAATACACTCAAGAACATATAGCAGAACATTTGGTGGCGAGAATAAAAATAAAAAAAATCCATGAATACCAGAACACAGGTTATGCAACATGCCGACATGTTTTCATGCACTCCAGTAATTTAACAGCGGAATTCAAGTTCCTTTCTTCCCCAGACTTTGAAGCCACAGTTTTATAAGATGTTTTTGGCTGTGTATTTCTATTGCCAATGCAGTGAGAAAGACAGGCTCTGTAGTGAGAGAGCACAGTTTGTCCTCTCAACAAGAATGTGTCTTCTAGACTTGTAGAGGCTACTTAGTGTCAGCTACAGTTTTAGTCAGACTTTGAATGAAATAATTTGAAAAACAAGGAGCCATTGTCCAGCTCTGGATGAGAGATGGCAAATGCAAAAAAACTGGTTTGTGACCAACAAGCTGTGGATTGTGCTTTGATAGCCACTGTGTTCATATGTCTCACTTGTTTGTTGGGTAGTAAACCCAACAAACAAGTCCATTTTCTGCAAATGGCTGCATTTCTTGCAAGTCTTCTGTGAACTTCTTTCATATTTATTTCGTATCTAATTTAACTCAGCTCTGCTCCTTACTGACACTCAAAAGCTGCTCTTTCTGGTTCACCAGCACTTAAAAGGAGTACTTGGGTTTCTGTGTGGTACTACATATGTAGCTGGAGAACGCAGCAGGTTAACTTAGCTTAGCACAAAGACTGGAAATAAGGGGAAAAGCTAGCTTGCCTGTTTGTTTCCAAAGAAAACAAAAGCCACCTCCCCGAAGCTAAAAAGTGAATTACTTATATGCAGTTCATTTGTGGTAACCAATGTTCTCATCTTACTTTCACCATGAAGGTATTTCTCAGTTCAGTTTGTCTAAGCTCAGGAAACAATTAGTCCTGGCAAGACAGACCATATCTCCCTGATGGTGCTTTCAATCAGTGGCCTCAAGCCAAATCTAAAATTCATTTTTTAGGAGGCAAAAAGTCTAAATTCTAAAATCCAAATCCCAAAGAACCTGAAATGCCTAATTTGCAATTCTGTCTTTCTACAGTAAAGCATCTTTGCAACAAAGCAACATAACATGCAGGCCTAATGGCTGGTTTGGCTTTAATAGGTAAAGCAGAACCATTGCTATCTTGGTACTGTATTAACAGCTGACCAGAAAGCATCTGGGTAAGGGGCATGACATTTTTCATACATCCTCTAAGTGGTTGACCAAACACAACAGAGTAGGCTGGAGGGCAGCAATGTACGTTATGATTTGAGAGAAAAGATTTATTTGGAACAACACAACATGTAAAGAAACCATAAGGAAGAACCTATAAATGGGCAAAATACAGGCCTGTTTAAGTTATTTTTTTAAATAAGTGAATGTAATGAAGCACCAAATTCTTTGTCAACTGTCCTAATTGGATGGAGATCTCGTACAGCACAAAGCGAATCAGACATGGTCAAATTGATTCACATTTAAATGTTCTCAGTGCGTCTCTGGTGTTTTCACCACACCAGCAAGAAATCAATGTACACACTGAGGTCTCCTCCACCACACTAATTGCAGCTCATAGAATTTACTATTATCGTGACAACAGAACCAGGTCCTCTGATGACGGAGGAGGGAGAGGAGGAAAATCATTACTCTCCAAGTTAATTTCAATATCTCAGCTTAAACAAAGCCACTACTTAAAAGGTCAGCTTGATTATGGTGCATTAATTGGAAAGTTGCTATCAGCCATAGAACTGCAGTCAAATTATACTGCTAGCAGCTTTTAGAACAAAGTTAATGTCTGACTCTTAAATAGGAGAATGGACCTCCAGAGTGCTTTAACAACAGAAGATGATGAATAAGGTTCCTCTAAATTAAGGCTTAGGATTAAAAGTGTAAAAGCAAAACAGTAAATTTAGGCTGTATGATGTGATAAATATACATATACATAAAAAATGTATCACATAATTAGGTAGAGCACCACATTTTTCCACCAAGCAACAGATTCACATTCACTGTTTTTCCACAAGAAAGGAAGAAAAAACATATAACACTGCTTTATATAAGTTCTTGTGTAAAGGGGACCTGTTCGGCCCATTTCAAGGTCTATATTTTTTTTTCTGTGATGCTTAGAGACGCTATGAAAAATTCTCAGGTCAAAAACAGTCCTTACTAAGAGCACACATTCTTTTCACTGTAAAGCTAAGTAACTAGCAAATAAAACGAATAACGATTTTAGATTTAAAAGGCCAATTTTTTTAAATCCATCAGCCATTGAAATGCTACTCTGCTTTCTCCAAACGACTGTATAGTAAACCCGTACAGTCAATTATTTACTGAAGTACATTAAATGCCTTTAAAACTACTGAAATAGACTGTTTTGTGAGAATAAGATGTGCTTGGAGCAGTTTTAAAGAAATCCCTGGTGAGCTGAGATCAGCTTGTTAAAGAAGTAAGAAAATACACTGAAAGCAAACAATCTGATGGCTGGGTTTTTGTAACAGGAAGTACTTTCACACATTTTACCTCCTTATTGGAAAATGTGGCCACATTCAAAATGGATATCTAACATTGCAACATTACGCATATGACTGAAAATAAGTGAAAGCACAATCGATCCTGTTTTAAACTTTTTGTTGTTGCGTTCGAGTTGGTGTGGGAAAAAAACTTTGGTCTGCGGCTGATAAATTACAGCCACACATAAAAGCTATCATTGATATTTGGAGAAATGTCAGCCTGCTGATAACAGATTGGACCGGCAGAGCTCTGTCTGTGCTGGAAATGGGAGGCGGAAGGCCTGAGGACTGCACCCTGAAAGATAAGTAGGACCAACCCTGTCAGGAAACCAACTATAAATAATTGGCTCTTTTTATAGTAATTTGTCGCTAGTGTTGAGCTCAGGCTCAAGGAGGATAGACATGGGCTTAAGCACTGCAGCATAAAGAGTATCCTAATGCTTTCCAATGACTAGGAGACAATTTGTCTGAAGCCATGTCCCATTTCACAAATGCAATTTACCCAGACGACAGAACAGTGGGTTCACTGAAGGAGTCACAGGCAAGTAAATTACAAAAGCCGTTGATTTATGGATCAAAAGTCATGAATGATTTGATTCAGGTGATCTCAGAGTCTGTCTCATCCACATCTGACACACAAATAAGTATTGACCCATTTGCGATATGGATGAAACTAGTTCTAGAGGCTGAAAGAAACTAGAAACTCACTGGAGACATGGGAGTTTATTTTTTAAAAAACAAGAGAAAGACCAAAAAAGAGAAGAAAAAAGAGAGAGCAGAGAAAAGAGACAAACTGAGTGCAAGCAAGAAAATTAAACTGGAACCAAAACTTAGTTCGTTCCATATTTCATTGTGATGAATAAAAAATAGCAGCAGATATCACTCATCAACAGTCAGAGTAATGAGTTGCAGGACTCACTGTTGAAAATCCACTTGTCAGAAAGCAAAAGATTTGGCCGGAAGTCTTGCAAATATCAAGAATGTTTTTTGCCTCAATTATACTTGATTGTAATTGTAATATACTTTGCGGACGTGCACGCTGACAACTTCGGACAGAAGGGAGAAGAAGACGAGTTAAATGCAGACGGGTCAAGGCATATTCTCCTGCCTTTGCTTACCCTTATTAAATACTTCCATATTATATTTTATAACGTTAACTGGAGAGATCGTAGAATGGAGTATGAGTTCAATTACAGAACAGTGAGCAGGCTGTTCCAAATAACTGCTATTAAATGCTCACATGTACTGTGCAAAGTCAAAAGCTGGTAAAGCAATAGACTGTAAATCATTGTGAAGAGGACCTTGTGCTGCAGCTCAGCAGGTAGGTACCGAACAACACCAGCCCGTCGCCGCAAAATTATTGCCACCTCTGCTTCAAGATCAGAGCAGACACACGTTAAGTGTCCAGTATCCTTGTACAGCACTGTATTACCCTACCACATGCCCTCCCTCCTCACCCCCCCACTGATGTGCACTCGCTTTACACGTTAACAATAAATTATTATTAACAATATTAGGCTCTGAGCCGTGCTGAAGTTCACTTGGTGTTTTGATTCGCTCGAGAGTTTGAGAAATGTATTTAAACACACTGAAAAAAGTCCAGCACGCACGCACGCACGCACGCATGCACGCAAGACCTAAATTCTCTTTTTTGCACAGCAGGAGGAAGCTGAGACACATCATAAATCTATATATTTGCTATATATACAAACCTTTCTCCAGTGTTGTGGCATCTTAAAAAGTCTCCTGACATATTCATCTGTTACTGAACTTCCAGGGGCCTACACTATATGATCCCCCACAAACTCAGTCACACTGGTGTTGCTTTTAGTCGAGCTGGTTATGGTCTGAATCCCTGCTTTGGCAGAGGATATCCACTCATTCAGTCTTTTTAAATCCACATAGATTATTAACATTTGTTGTTATGTCCTGCGAACTACGTTGTTGCAAACAATTCAGTTTAACACCTCTCGACTGTGTTTTGACAAATCGGCTGCTATGTACAAGTTAATTACAAGGCAACCAAACAACATTTAGCTACTTAGACAGTAGCAGAACTGTCCCTGGTGTATTCTGACCCACATTCACTTACATTTATTAGACGTCTGCTCTCAGCAGAAACACAACAGCAGTGGTTGCTTATTCAGAAGCTCAGACTGAATCCCTGACAAGCTAAACCTTTTAGAAGTGCCAATGAAGACTGGACTGGTTCAACAATGGAGATGACGATCCTCTATTTTATTTATTCTACCAAGCATGCAAACTGTTAAAAATGTAGATTTTACATGTTGTAAATACAGTATGGATGGACCTGTGTCTAATCTACTAGTTATCAGCACTTGAGAAGCCTTGTATGGATATAACACCCTCTGGTAATAACACTGTTTTGATCTGGAAGGAAAACTACCCGGACATAAAAAAGATAGATGAGACTGGACAGGAGGTGAAAGACAATCCTGCCAGAGGATAAAAGTCTTCCACGCTTGACAGATAAAGGCAAAAGATACTGGAAAACAAAAGCAGCTTTGCAGCTTACATGCTCCAAGTGTCCTGCCTGAAGAAATTGAAAAGTGCCTGAAATAGCTGGTGGTGACTTATTGAGATTTCTTTATTAGAGATTATAATATTCTTTGAGAATATCTGAACGATAAACCTTAACATGTGTACTGATAAATGCAGAGAGCGGAATGAAGGGAGGTTTTTGCTTTTTGTGTTTTTGCCCAAATAAACCCACATTTCTCTTAATATTTTTCATACCACAACAAAAACCTGTAGTTTTAAAGAAAACACATGATGAGGGTCATTATGCTGTAGATTTTACTGCTGTGCTTTGGAGGAAGTGGCAATTATGACAACAGTTATTGGGGATTTTTCAGTATTGTACTTTAAGGAAATATATATTACACTTCCCAGCTTGTCACTGACCTGTGACAGTCATCGAGTGGAAATAATGCGAAGGACTGATTATCTAATCCTTATACATAAAAATAGATCAACTCAGAACTGGCAGCTCGTTCACAACCTGTCACTTCACTGAAGTGCTATTGAGAGAAAGAAAACACACAACTGAGATGAATGCAGTTTGGGATTGGCTACAAAATGTCTCCAGTGTAGATGCAATGCTTGTATGAGGCTGATAAATCCTACATGATAATGTTGACAGTTCTACACTGTGGGTGCATGAACAAACAAACCGACAGGGTGAGCAACATCTCAGTTGTGATACCCTGAGGTCTCGGGCCGCTCTCATGTCCAATAATGAACCGCTCCTTTTTTTGCTCCTTCTACAGATCATGAAAAAGACTTAGAGACTTGGATTGTGGGGATTTGAGCTGTGATGAGCTGTAACATATGAGGGCTAGCTGGAAGCCTGGATGATTGCTTCATCAAATGGAATGTGATCCCAGTCTTAAATCTATGGGACCTAATCCTGCCTGACACAGATAACCACACTTTTTTTAAACACAGAATTATTTGGATGTCTTTATCCCCCAAAATTCCTGGTGAAAAGGCTTGACACTTGTAGCAGGTTCCTGAATACTACCTCATCAACATCTCGGCTTGAGCAGTGTATGAAATCAAATCTTTTTAAGAGCAAAACAAAACAAAAAAACCTTGTTTGCTGCACTTCAAATTGAACTAGCTGCTAATCTCTGTCTGGGTCTCTGGTGCATTTAGAACAATGTCAAACCTGCTGCAGCACTGAGCGAAGGGATGGGTGAGTAGAGTTGTTTTCATTCTCCTGATGTCCTCTGGCGTTAAAATCACAAGCAGTCATCACAGCAATAAAAGCTCGTGAGCCACCCTCAGGGAGCTATTGGAGCAGAAGCCCAGTGTATGTGTGAGGTGCAGGTGCTGCAGACTGAACTAAACTCTTGATGGTTTCACTGCTCTCCTGCACGGGTGAAATAAGGATTTTAGACTGACTATAATTTATTTGTGTGTTAGCTCCTGTGCATATGGGATGATTTGTGTGGGTTTGTGTGGGTCTGTGTATTTGTGTGTGCATATATATGTATTGCAGTGGTTCTCAGCCTGATTATGATAATGTGTAGGCATCAGGGTGAATTCAAGGCAACAGCTGACAGGGGAAAAATAATGCTGCCTAATCCCACAACAATTTTTATGTGAGTTCATATAAACATGTTAATTATTGTTATAAAACAAAATTTCAACAACAGACAGATCACAGGAATGAAACAGGTTTGTAAAAAAAACAAAAAAACAAGGTTCTGTCCAAAATATCATCTGGAAGTTGGCACTGATCTAAGGTCAGTTATTAACTGTGATTGGTTTCATAGGTTTTCCTCTAATGTCTAAAAATCTATATGTGCAGCTTCCCTTTCCATTTTTTCTTTGACTTTGTGATACAGAGCGAACAGGAATGCTGCAGGGAATATCAAGTATGTACTTCCTGAACATATGTTTTCTCTTGTAGAGGTAAAGAAATTTCAACTACAAATCTAAACCTACGTCTACAAATCACTATATAAAGGACTCCTGTTAACCCCTCGCATAGACTATAAATCCAGCTAAGCAAGATGATACTATGTAATATGTCTGATAGCGAATTATTGAGTAAACATGAGTCAGTGAGATGAGTCATAGTCAGCCAGGTTTTCCAACAGATTTAGAATCATTGCTGTTTTTGCCAGATGGTTTACTATACGTGTGCATTTAAAATGTATACGTTAAAAGGTTAGTTGTTCGTGTATTTCTTTAATACAGCACCGTGTTAACGGATTTCTATCTATAATAATAACTGAAATTATATCATAAAGATGTCAAGACTGGTCAAGTAATGGCTTGAATCTATAACTACTGCCCACTTGGTCGTGGGCAGCCAAAATAATGTGGCAATAACTCAAGGCTGCAAGAAAACAGAAGGCCAGTTTCCCTGGAAAGTCAAAGTTGCAAAGTACCCAGGACAAGTTCACCAATGCAATTTCATAAATGTTGTGCAGAAGGTGTAGTTATATGTTTGAGCCTGGTCATTGTGTCTGCAGAGTCACAGACTGCAGCTGACACCAGAGCTGCAGTGAGCACAGACAAATGCATATATTCATGGAACAGCACTGAGGATTCACTTCAAGTAGAACTGCCAATCATACTGACACTTATGTCTGCCTCACAACAAAGCAGCGTTTTTTTTTATGTAGTTTATAAAAGTGACCTAAAATTCACAAATTCTAAAGACAACATGACTGCAACTACAAACTGTTTTGAGTATAATAATAAATAATATATTCTAAAATAATTTTCAGAATATCATCTCAATCAGATTTACTATTTAGTCTGTAAACTGCAAGCAGACACACAAAACATGATTCCCTAAAGCCCACTGTGATGTCTCCATATTGTTTTGCTGTCAGCTTTTTCTATGTCATCTTCCAGCAGTCGAGGTCACTTAAAATGTAATGATCAGTTAATTAAAAATGATTTAGAAACATTTTTAATCAATTGACAAATTAATTCTTTGTTGAAG